TCTGATAGAGGTTATATATTAAGAGTCCAGATGGGAATCATCAAACTTAAGAGATCTGGAGCAATCCAGATGGACTGTGAGGAGAATTCAACACCATCTTCTAGGAAAGTGCCAAGGAAGAAGCAGGAAGCATGTGCATCTGGACCCTGGAGGGAGGGGAGCATAGATTCAGTCAGTTGGGAATGCAGTTCAGAAGATGTGAGGAGCAGCCTGGGTTTTTAGCACTGTCATTAAAAGATGAAGAACTTTTTTACATAGGGTGGGAGCAGCATTCTAAACTGGAAAAACATCTTCTTCAAAGGTGCTTGTGAGATGAGCAGTTGGTGCATGTGAAGATACAGCTGTCATCTAAGCTAGAGTCAGGCTGTACCCAGAGCTGTTTCTGAAGGTGGTTGTTAGTCATAGTCCTCTGCTCTGTGCACCCAGGACTCTTTTCCTTCCAGGATTTCAGTCTATGTCTCCGTGATTCGCACCTGGACCATTCTGATAACTGGCCTATGAAAGTGTTGCCTTTCAATGCTGGAAATTATTGTTTTGTGGTTTTTTTTTCTTTCTGGCAATGTAGGTTCTTAAAACACTCCCATTCAGACATCAGTTGACTCTAAGAATCTCTGAAAGAGGCTACAAGGTAGAATTCTACACAACAACCTTGACTCGGCCCCCCACTACCCCTGGCTCTCGTCTCTCTATAGTCAGCAATGTGAGATCACCAGCTTGCATTCGCAGCCTGGTCAAAGAGACGATTAAAGTCCCAGTCAATATCTGAGTATTGAAGAGCAAACCACCTGGCAGAGAGCCATGCGATCTCAGAAGAGTAACTGATAATAAATAGTTCTCTTGAGGAAGATGAGTTAATTTTCCATGCAACAGTTGTTCCCTGGAACAGGAATTAGATAGTCCAGGGCATCATCTGTAAAGGTTGTATGTTGGTGATGCCAAGGATTAACAAAAGAAAATCTAATGATAAGGTGGGGGAGAAAAAAATATGGTGGTTTTCTTTTTTTTTTTTTTTATTTAATTTATTTATTGAATCACTGTGGGAAAGGTTACAAAGCTTTCAGGTTTATGTCTCAGTCATGCAAATATCAAACACATTTCCCTTTACCAATACTTATTTTTTACCATGAAGAACCCCAATAAAACCCCACCCCCCACCCCTCCCCGTCCCTGTGAAGCAGATGAATTCTAGTTAACACTCTATCTGCTTTGATTAGATTCATTGTTTCAATAAAAGATTCACCACTATTATTTAGAGTTTACCCCCCCCCCCAAATCAGACATGCTGAAAAAGCATTGTGAAGTGATTTGCTTTCTACGGCTGGGTTCAAGAATTAAATGTTGGTTTTGGATTTCTGCTCTTTTACCTATTGACCCTGGAAGTATTTCTACTGAAAGTCAGATAGTTAAGAAATTGGTTTCTGTGTTCTGGAGTCCTGGCCGTGCTGGAGAGCCGCTCGCGGGGGGCAACCGGTGGCCTCGGTAGGGCGTGAAGGGCGGACCGAAACGCCCCCCTTCCCATGAGGTTTTAGTCGCCCCCACACTCCCGGCTCATACCTGCTGTCCACAAGGCTCCCATGTGGCCGCCATCTTTCGTTCCAGAGAGGAGAGGGCGAATGGGGCAACACCCTTTCCCCTCCGGCAGACTTGATGGCCTGGATCAATGCAGAGTCTGTTCACTTTTCTGCTCCAAGCTGCTGGGTTCTGCATTAAGTCCTTGTGCTTCTGGGGCCGTGGCCGTGCTGGAGAGCCGCTCGCGGGGGGCAACTGGTGACCTCGGTAGGGCGTGAAGGACGGACCAGAACGCCCCCCTTCCCATGAGGTTTTAGTCGCCCCCACACCCCCGGCTCATACCTGCTGTCCACAAGGCTCCCATGTGGCCGCCATCTTTCTTTCCAGAGGAAGGAGGGCGGAAGGGAGCAACACCCTTTCCCCTCTGGGCAGAAATGATTGCCTGGATTAACGCATAGTCCTTTCACTTTTCTGCTCCAAGCTGCTGGGTTCTGCATTAGGTCATTGTGCTTCTGGGGCTGTGGCCGTGCTGGAGAGCCGTTCGTGGGGGGCAACTGGTGACCTCGGTAGGGCGTGAAGGACGGACCGGAACGCCCCCCTTCCCATGAGGTTTTAGTCGCCCCCACACTCCCGGCTCATACCTGCTGTCCACAAGGCTCCCATGTGGCCGCCATCTTTCGTTCCAGAGAGGAGAGGGCGAATGGGGCAACACCCTTTCCCCTCCGGCAGACTTGATGGGCTGGATCAATGCATAGTCCTTTCACTTTTCTGCTCCAAGCTGCTGGGTTCTGCATTAAGCCCTTGTGCTTCTGGGGCTGTGGCCGTGCTGGAGAGCCACTTGTGGGGGGGCAACTGGTGACCTCGGTAGGGCGTGAAGGACGGACCGGAACACCCCCCTTCCCATGAGGTTTTAGTCGCCCCCACACCCCCGGCTCATACCTGCTGTCCACAAGGCTCCCATGCGGCCGCCATCCTTCTTTCCAGAGAAGAGAGGGTGAATGGGGCAACACCCTTTCCCCTCTGGGCAGAAATGATGGCCTGGGTTAACTCATCGTCTGTTCACTTTTCTGCTCTAAGCTGCTGGTTTCTGCATTAAGTCCTTGTGTTTCTGGGGCTGTGGCCATGCTCCAAACTTAACTCTGATTTTCAGGGAGAAAGATTGGGTGGTTTACTTCTCATTGATCACTTTGTATATAGAGAGATGTCGCGCGGCCGCTTATGCGGCCGCGCAGTTTTGAGAAAAAGTCCTCGTTCCTGCATACTTGAGCTGTGTTTGTAGAGGCTTCTGGTCACCGGGGTTCCATCTGGGGGAGGCGGGATGCGGCGCCTACTCCATCTGCAACTTGCCGGTGCTCTCGGCTCTTTTTGGAACCTGTTTTTTCTTTTTTCTTTTCCTCCGGGATCCCGCACCCTCCATGTGTTCCTTCTCTTATTCTGAACGTTTCAAAGATGGCCTATGGTGGTTTTCTTACCAGAATGTAAGGAACACTAATGTAGTTGCTTACTATATTTCCTCTGGCCCTCCCAACTGTATCTCATATTTTCTACAATTGCTCATGTTCCAGGGAGGTGATATGGTGTTCTGGAAAGAATCCAGTCTTTGTAGTCAAAGGAGATCCAGATTTAAATTCCAATAGTAGTCGTCCAGGAGCTATGAGAAGGTAAGTCACTGAATGATGTTGTCAACCTTTTTTTTTTTTTTTTTGTATGGACCACCTCCAGGGATGTCAGTGAACAAACCCATACTAATCACAAACTTACTACTTAGTCTATTGTCCAAGGCCTGGGACAATATCAAGTGATCAAGTGATCATTTGAACTCAGTCCAGATGACCCTAGCGTACCCATTCTAATATGGTAGGTAGGCCCATTACCTTGTGTTTGCCTTCCTCTTTGTAGAAATGATTTTGGCTGATAGAGGCCATCACTCCACACATCCTGGGACTGGGCCCCACCAAGGGCTTCCCAGTTTGTGCAGGTAAATAAAAGGCAGCAATTAGCTCCAGAGTGAAGCTCAATGGTGAGATCTAGGCTCCGTGGCCTCCTTGTGTTAATCAGACCCCGGCTTGGACCCCTGAGAGGAGCTCACAGCTTTTCAGGGCTCTTAACTTGACCTACAGTTTTCCTGATTCTGTAAAATTACTTAATCATCCACGGAGAACTTTTCCTCAATTACTTGGGTGCCCTAAATTCTGGCCTTTGGCTCTACATGTGGCAATTCAACCATACAGTCCTTTTTTTCAAATGTTCTTTCCAGAATTTTATGAGATGATAAAGTTGCCTAGAACATGAGAGACAACTAATTTAAACAGATTTTCCCTCATTTTTATCATGGATACAAAGTGCAGAAACTAAAAAAAAAAATAAAAAAAGTTGGGATCTGGAGCAATAGCACAGCAGGTAGGGCATTTGCCTTGCATGCATGCAACCTGAGTTCGATTCCCAGCATCCCATATGGTCCCTGAGCACTGCCAGGAGTAATTCCTGAGTGCAGAGCTAGGAGTAACCCCTGTGCATCACTGAGTGTGAACCCTCCCCCCCCCCCCCCCCGCCAAAAAAAAAGCAAAACAAAAAATGTCTTCAGGTAAATTTCCTGTACTTTCTATGTAACAAATCTTGTGGAAAATCAGGCCAATGAGGCTTGAACTGAGCAGATATTTGGGTTTGGGGAAGGCCAGTGATTCTCAGCCAACACGATAGCAGTTCAATGCCAGGGCCCAAAGGATGCAATGCTGCTCTCGCTTGGTGATTCCAGGGATTACTTAGGTCAGCCTGGTAGTACTCAGGGTCTCCAAGGCTGAAAGGACCATGTAGTTCTGGGTTTGGAACTATGTTTTTAGTTCTCTTCTTCCTCTCCTTTCAGTGAAGATGGGTTGACCACATGCTAGACATGTACCCTAATATCTGTACTACCTCCTGGCCCTTGAAGTTTTTTTCGAAGTAGGCATATTAGTGCTTACTTTGTAGAGACAGTGCAGTAGTGCTTTGAATCTTTCATTAGGTTGTTTGATGTGGAATAAGACATTCAATCAGGGGAAGCGGTCCCTTGTCAGTGGGTAAGCTCAGGGAGTGCAGGCCAGGCCAATATTCCCATCCTGGTATTGTTGACAAACACAATTCCCAGCATAAGGAACATAGGGAAGCAGTACTTTGTATGCCCAGTGAGAGGGAAAGGGATCATGCATCATAAAAGATTTCACAATTCTCCGTTTGGATCTGGGCAAAATATCCAAGATTGGACTTTCTGATTCTTGTCAGCAAAGTTCTTCTTTTGGTAGTTTTGGTTCTTGGGGTCATAGCTAGTGAGGCTCAGGAGTTAGTCCTAGCCCTGTGCTCAGGAATGTTTTCTGATAATGCTAGGGACCAAATGTAGTGTTGAGGATGGAAACAGGATCAGCTACTTTCAAGACAAACACTTAACTCCTTTACAATCTCTTTGACCCAAAGGGCAGAGTTTTGTATTTATTTAGTGAATCACCAAACTCATTAGCATTGGTCATTAACATAGTTTATTATTGGCACACTTATCAGTAAAGCATACATAAAATACAGCTGTTATATAACACACGGAGCCACTGTGTCTTTACAGGTGTGAAGAAACATATTAATATGCAAATGGAAACTTAGTACTCATATAAAGTTTCACATAAATACACTGGCATTGCCCGCCAAGAAAAGTCCCCAGAAAAGAACCAGGCAAGGGCTTTACAAAATATTATACAAGAAATATACTATGAAAAGAAATAACAGTCAACTCAGGTACAATAAAAAACACAAAAAGGTTTTAGATTTAGTGAACTGCTCACAAAAATTAATGGATTAATGGCTTGAAAGTATTTGGATCAACAGCAATTTTACAAACGCATCAATTTTCAAGGGGCCAAGTATCTTTCTTTACATAAAAATTTGCATCAATGTCTTTGATGGCAAAAGACATTTCTTGTTTCAGCACTTGGACCAAATTGAACCATCTTGGGCTCAGCAAACAAATAGACATCAGCTTGCCCACAAATTACCCTGTCGGGGCCCTCTTAGCTGTTACCCAATGAAAGCAAAGGTGAAGGGAAAAAAAAAATATATATATAGGTACATTTAAATTACTTTCCAAAAGCTGATTTTTTCTTTTCTTTTTTTACTGAAACAAGAAACTCTCAGATGCAAGTCAAAAAGCAGAAAATATTTTACAATATTAAAAAGTCATTTTTTGTTAGTTTCGGCATGTCAGTGAGACCTGAGCACTGAGGGTTTGACAATAGGGCCTTTTTTTTTTTTTTTTGGATGCAGGGAAAGGAAATTCAACACAGACACGAGATTCCTGCTGTGTCAGAGAAGAGCTAGCTTTTGCTCTGCTTCTAATTACGATCAGTGCCAGTATCTGCATTACCTGTGAAGGCCTCCAGAGAAGGGTCACGGAGCTTATTCGGAACGATCCTCTCAATTAAAACGAGAAACAAATGACACGAAACTCGGATTGCCGTGGTTTGGAAAGAGAGATGCTCTTGGAAAAGTTTTTAGTTCTCTTCTTCCTCTCCTGTCAGTGAAGATGGGAAACTCGGAGCCTTTGGAGCAAGGAGGTGGGTTTCTTACTGGGAGGCCTGGGGTGGGGGGTTTTCTGATTTGGTCTCTTGGGTGGCAGGTGGTTTACTGTTCCACGGGCTGCTGTTCCCCAGGGCGGGTGAATTGTTGAAGTCTTCCTCGTCGTCCATGCCGTTGGCCGCATCATATTGCGTGTTTTCTAATCTAGTGATTAGCCTTTCGTCCTCGTCCCCAAACTCACCTCCCATCAGAGTTGGCTCTCCTACCACCATCACATCCTGTGAACAGCAGCTGACATTATTACAGGGAAACTTGGGGAGAGAGAAGCTCAGCTTAAAATAACAGTGGGAGGAGCTGGGGTACTAGGACAAGATACACTTGTGTACTGGACACCAGGGCCAAGTCTCAATGTCGGGGGGCTGAGACGAATATTGGATTTCTACGGGAAATAAACATTGCCTCCTGACGTGTTACAACCACGCGATTTTATGTCCTTAGGGTGCGGCCTGACACCGGAGAACGAGCAATGCTAGCAATCTGCAGAAATAAAAAAATGGATTTTTGAAAATTAAGAAAATCCACGCTTTGAACTTGCCGACATTGGGGACTTTTGAGCAGGTGGTGGAATGTTTCTTTTTTTGCGGGTGCTTATCAATACCTCCAAAAATCTACCACTGTTACTTAGGGTCTCTGATGGCCCTGGAAATTAGCCACGGCCAGCTTAGGAGGTCATTCTGCTGTGGCCTCCAAGTCTTTGCAAATGGCATCTCCTCTGTCCCATGGATGGTATACGTTTTAATTGAAGACAGAAACTCCTTTTCTCTCCTCAGCCGGGCCCTTTTATGCAGCCAGTATCCTTGACATTCTGCTACTTAATTATGGTAATTAATTTAGGTAAAGTTTTCGATAAAAACAATGTTCACACTGATTTGACAATTTGCATAGCTAATTAAGTCATTAGCAAAAACCTGCTGATTGCCAACAAGCCCTGAATTTACCATCTGTTATTTCATGGTGCCTGTCACCTATTCCCGTGCAGGCAACCCTGCCACCAATCTGGGCAGTAAAGAGAACCAGGCTGTCCAGCTGGTGCCATGAAAGGAAGATGAAGAGCACTAATTATAATTACACCGAGGAAACTGGTAGCCAGCAGAAATGGAAGCAGGCAAGAAGAATCCGTCTAATCACGTCTTTAAATACAAATTGTCCTTCCATGCCAACTTGGAAGCCACCTACTCTGGCTAGAGGCAGAGTAGAGGCACAGGGCGGGGCTGCAGCCACAGAGCTCAGCTTGAGACTCTGTACAAGAGGGGTCCTGGGGAAGATGGGTGGGCAGGGCATGAGGTGGGGCCTGGGGGCAGGCTGTGAGCCATTATCTGTCAAAGTACAGTGGCTCGAGGAAGAGCACCCAACAACTAGAAGCCTTGAGGGGGCTGGAGAACTGGTCAGATGCTTCGGGAATTATAAAGATACACTTTCTGAGGGGGAAGACTGTAATTCTATGGAATGCCTCACTGGACAAAAGTCCTCAGCATGGGCAAGATGAATGGCTTTCTTGGGACAGGACCCTGAGAAACAGGCGAAGGTCTGGTGGCCCTCAGCATCCTTTCCAGATTCTTGAAGGTGTCATATTAGAAAAAAAAATTCCTTCATTACCATCTGGTTTGTTTGGGAGTAGGAAACCTTGTTTGATGGATTGATTGATTGATTCCCAGAGAATAATGGGCAGATAATCACTGGCCTTCCAAGCTGTGTTTTCTGATGAATCAGATGGAAAAGGACTTTCAAGAGACACTAAGGAGATGAAGCAAATGATTTAAATATGGGCAGGGAAAACTCAGCAATACGGGCACAGGCAGAGTCTCCATGTTGATTTCTCCAGACTGATCAGGGAGCCAAGAGCCCAAGAAACGAGATTCCCTGAAGGTGAGGTACAAAAGAGATGCAGACTGTGACCCAACAGGATTCCAGGTGTCTGGTGGTCTCTGAACATGTTATCGGGTTAAGCAGGGCAGCTGCTGGTGGCTCACTGGGGATGTTCCTTATAAAAAGTGCCCCTTGGGAGATAATGCTCCTGATCAAGCACCAATGTGCATGGAGAGAACAGAGCAAGACCGGGCAGAAGAGCATGTGAGAGTCTTGATTTTTGGACTCAGGTGCAGCCTACGTGCACAGGGCAGGAGAAGGATGCGAGAACCCACCCTGGGGTCCTCTCTGCATTAGTATTGTGAGTACGAGATCATGGAGAGAGTATGTGCTTATAGCAGGAGGGGAGCAGAGTGGGGCAGAAGCAGAGGGAAAGAAGGGCAGCCAACTGAAGCAGGATATTAGGGGAAATGTTCCCAAGGCTCCAGATGTCTTCGTTGTTATCAACTAACAGCAGTTCTTCAAGGGGAATGCTATGAAAAAATGTGATTCGGATTCCTTCAAACGGGGCTGATACAGGCTTGCCAAAAATTTTGGGTCTCTTTTTGTTCTTGAAAGAGCTGGAAAAGAAGGCCAGGCAAGGACATTCCGAAGCAGCCTACATTGCATAGAGATGCCACGTTGGCCTGATTCTAAAAGAATCCTTTGCTGGCTACATGACTCATGCACAGACATGTATGTGTGCACGTGTGTGCTCACATTGTGTATGTGAATGAATCACAGGTGGCATAAAAGAAATTCGTTGACAAGGGTTTGTGGGGCCAACTGAGGGGGTCATGCACAAGCGTAAGCCCCGTTCTTCGAAACCTTGAGGCTAGGAGAGGGGTTCTCTGGTGAGGTCATCTAGATTGGTTTTCCCTATACAACATAAACAGACACAAGACGCAAATTTGGGGCTGCCTCTCCCTAGAGGATGTTGGCATCAATTCCCCACCACCCCCGTGTATAGAACCCCCCCAACATTCAACATCGGCAGTGAGTGCATTTCCTTCCCATCTCTGCTAACTCAAGTGTCCCGCAGGATGCAAGATCCGAGTGCTCATGACTCGTAAGCCCTCGGCTCCCCACGAGGCAGATCTCTGCCTGAGGGGCACCGCTCTTGCCCCTGTCACAGCTTCTGACTCATCCCCCGTGCAAGGACCACCAACCTCTGAGGAGGACTGGAAGTGACTCCTTTCAGGGCCCCTCAATGCTTCTCCTTAAATTGGCCAGAAGGGGTCACTGCTGTTGAATGACACAGGTCTCCATCCCTCCCAGAGTTGAGGCTGCAGTTCGGGATCGCTCCTAGCCCCTGCTCATGGAGTGAGAAGCAGAATCCAAGGATTAAACCCTAGTCTTCGGCCCACGCACACACAGTTGCTGCTGTGACAGTTTAAGCAAGCAGAGACCCCCAGCTGTGGTCTGAGTGATGCCCCCGAATCTCTTTCTGCCTCTGCACACGGCAGCCATATCTGCAGATAAAGTTCTGTTGAAGGAGCAACTGACATCCTGTGGGGAGTTCAGCTGATGGGAGGCAAAGATGTGATCAGACAAGCTAGCTGAAGCTTCGCACTGAGCATCCATCCAACTAGAGTCCAAACACATGCGTGTGCCTCCCCACGCTGAGTGTGTGCCCCGTCTCCCACCCACCTGGACATTTTAGTTCTCTGCAACATCTCCCACGGCCTGTGTGAGCACAGGACAGGAATCTGACTTTCGCTTTCAGTGACTCCCTGATCCTTACCATCCCCAAAGGATCTCTTGACATTGAATATAAACCCTTGACATTGAAAAAAAAACCTTCTCAGGACTTGACTCAGTCACAAAAATTGCAGTTGGTTTGGAGGACACGGACATAATAAACTCAGGGAAAAAAACCCAAACCTAGATGCTCTTTAAAATAAATTGGAGATGATTCCAGCCAAGCCAAGTCTGTCTGAGTGGACTATCTTCACCGGGGCAGACCTGAGCAACGGAAGACCCACCAGACCCAGTTTTGGCTGCAGACCCTCCTCAGCATGTGGCCCGTGTGCTGGCCCTTAGGAGACTGAGCTGGCAGGGGGAGGAATCTCCTTTGCCATTCTCTACTGGACACCGAGCACTTCCCCTTTAAAGCTTGGTATGGTAGAACCCTGGCTTAGAGTGACCTTAGCAGGTCAGCAAACATCAGCTGAACTGACCTGGATTTGAGTCACAGCTACTGAATGCATCCTTTCGACTGTCCCCATTCATTAGAGGCAACTAAGGAAAGTCAATACCTAAGACTCCAGGATTGGCTCATTAAATGGGCAATTGCGTGGCCCTTGAGTTTATTTACTCATTCCTCAGGCTATTTGCGTTTTCCAAGCTGGGAAATGGGCACCGCTTTTCGGTACCTCAGTGAAAAGACCGTTTCCCCTCCTTGATTCATCCCGTGTTCTTTAGAGGTGACAGCATGGTTCAGAATACACAGGTGATTCTGGCATTATTTAGGACTCTAATTTCTAGCTGTCCTCGATTTAAAAGGCTATAGGCTGGCCTCTCTCCACAAAGCTCTTGCTTTCTAACCACATGGGAATAAAACCCAGATCCTCTGCAGACGGAGGACCAGAGATGCAGCCCTCCGACCCAGTAATTCTCCGGGATGGACAGGGTTGGTTTGAGCCTGAGAAAGTGAGCATCCAGAAGTGGGGGTTGGGGGCAGGTGTCGGGGAACAGGTGGGGGACAAACTTGGAAGACACATTTGGAAGAAAGTGGAGAAAGCCCATGAACGGAAGGCTCCTTCTAACATGGAGAGAGATGCAGCAGGACCCAGAGAGGGGAGAGGACCACAGACCCAGGGGGAGAAGGAGAGTGCGCACGGATGGGGGGAGGTCAGATTCGTGAGGGGAGTGACAAGAGAGAGGTCACATTTCTGAAGACAGAGTACCTGCAGGCGCCACCAAAGTGTCGGAATGCAGAGGATGGCACACATTCGAGACAGGACAGGGGACAGGACAGGAGGGGAGGTGATCGTGGAAGGGAAGAGAGAGGAGGCGTGCTCCAAGGGGCGTGAGATCTAAACGCCTCCGGGGCTAACGCTGGGCTGGGAGCTGTTCCGAGTCTGGAAGGAAGGAGGCAGAAGGAGAGACAGGGGCAAGAACTCACTGGGGGGCGTCGCTGCCACCGCCCCCAGCAGGGAGCAGGGGAGGACAGACCGGCCCTTCCAGGGCACCCCCGTTCCTGGCCAAGACTCAGAAACCAAAGGAAGGGGTCCTCAGAACTGAGTCCTAATCTGGCCTGATCCTGCTTCTAAGAAACGGAAACGGAGAAGGTGAAAACCCCGCACGTGGTTTTCCACGTGGGGAGCTGGTTAATTACTTGGAGTCTGCCTCTGAGAGGGGCCCCCCGAGTTGGAGGCTCCCCTGGATGTCTGAGCATCAGGAGCCAGGTTCTGGGGGAGCCCAGGGTCTCCACCGAGGGTGCCCAGAGGGCCTCTGTGCCACCAGGCACGCTGCTAAGTGATGCTTTAATTAAACCTGCAGTGACATATCTCCTGTCTGGGACGCTGATGGCTTTTCCCCCTCGATTCAGGTCCCACAGCCGCGCTGACTCTGAACCTTCTTCCTCGCTCTTCCAGGCTGCCCGGGAAGGCGCTGGGAGCAGCACGTCCTCCCGCCACCCTCCACCTGCCTTCCCACCGGCCCTCCCTGCCCTTGTCTGTGTCTGCGGGACAGGGAGCGGGCAGAGGCGGGGCTGAGCCTAAGAGCAAGGTGAGACTTACAGGTACCTGACTGGACAGACTCAGGTTGGCGGCCGCGCTCTTCTTCTTGCCGCCGGTGCTGTTGCTGGCGTTGCCGGCGCTGCTGTTGGACGTGCTGCTCGTGGAGTTCTTCCGTTTCCTCCGCTTGGTCGTCGGTTGCCTGGTGGGTTCTGCTGCAGGATGGAGAGGAGGGTCGGCGCCAGGGCGCCCAGCCCGTCTAATCCCTGCCCCCGGAGCACCCAGCACCCTGCCTGTCTCACCCGGCCCACGGAAGCACCAGCACCCTGCCCGGCTAACCTGGCCCACAGATCTCTCCTTCCCTCTCCTCTCTCCTTCCCTCCCTCCCCTTCCCACCCCTCCCCTCCTCTTCCTCTTCTTGTCTCTCCTCCCCTCTTCCCTCCTCTTCTTCTCTCCTCTCTCCAGTCTCCTCTGTCTTCCCTTCTCCTCCTGTCTGTGTTCCTCTCCTCCTCTCCTCTCCCCTCCACTGCTCTTCCTTCCCTTCACAAAACCTCCCAACTCCTCCTCTTCCATTCCTTCCTCTCCTCTCCTATCCCCTCTTCGCCTCCTCTCCACTTTCCTCTCCATTCCTCTACTTCCCTCATCTCCTGTCTTCCCCCTCCTCCCTTCCCCTCCTTCTCTCTCCTTCTCCATTCTCCTCTCCTCTTCTTTCCTCTCCTCCCCTCATCCCCTCTCTCTTCCCCTCTACTCCCCTGCCTCCTTCTCTGTCTCCCTCTGCCTTCCTCTGCCTCTTTTCCTCTCCTCTCTTCTCCCTTTTCTCCCTCCATCTCCTCTCTCTTCCCCTCTACATCTCTGCTCCTGTCCCCTCCCCTCCCCTCCCTTTCCCCTCCCCTCCCCTTCCCCTCCTCTTCCCTCCCCTCCCCTCCTCTCCTCTCCTCTCCTCTCCTCTCCTCTCCTCTCCTCTCCTCTCCTCTCCTCTCCTCTCCTCTCCTCTCCTCTCCTCTCCTCTCCTCTCCTCTCCTCTCCTCTCCTCTCCTCTCCTCTCCTCTCCTCTCCTCTCCTCTCCTCTTCTCTCCTCTCCTCTCCTCTCCTCTCCTCTCCTCTCCTCTCCTCTCCTCCTCACCAAACTTCTCAACTCCTCTTTTCTCCTTCCCTCCCTTCCCCTCCCTTCCCTTCCCTCTTGGGTCACACTCAACTCCTGGGCATACTCTTGGCACTGTGCTCAGGGCTCATTTTGGAGGGCCATGTGCAGTGCCAGGGATCAAGCTGGAGTCAACTGCATGTAAGACAAGTGCTTTCCTTGCTGTACTACCTCCCTGGAACCCCATTTCTTCTCATGTTACACAAAAACAAAAGGCCACAATGTATTTTTAACACAAAATGGATGCCATACTATTTGTTCCTAAAGTGATTTGCATTTCTTTTATAATCTACTCATAGGACTTGGGGATGAGCTACAAAAACTTTCACACTTCAACTGAAATATTATTACTTCTCATGAGAAAATTTGGGGTGAATATTTTCTGTAATCAATCAACCTTCTCTTAATAACAAAAGGAGGGCTCTGGACTCCTTAGGGGGGGTGGTGAAAGAGAAGTATAAATTTAATTGAGTGAATCAGTGTATAACAGAATCATCTACTGGGTATGTGCTGTATCACAGCCGAACCCTACCCATCCCCCCTCTCTAGCCTCTCTGCCAAAAATACTCAAGGAAAACAGAGCTAAGCTTCGCAGCTAGAAAGTGGAAAGTTAGGGATTCACAAATAGTAGACACATCCATAATTTGGACTCTATGTTTAAAGAATGCACCTAATTTCAAAACCTCTGGGGAATAATTTTTATTTTATTTTATTATTTTTAAAAAACTGAGCCATGAGATAGAGCATTACAAACTGTTCATGACTGGGTTTCAGTCATACAATGTTGTAACACCCATCCCTCCACCAGTGTAATTTCCTAGCACCAGTGTCCCCCGTTTCCTTCCCACTCTCCCCAGTACCCCCCACCCCAGCCTGCAGGTACCTCTATGGCAGGTACCTCTTTTTCTCTCTCTCTTTCTATTTCTCATTTTAGGCATTATGGTTTGCAACAGGTGCTGGAAGGTTATCATGCATATCCCTTTACCTACTTTCAATACTTAGTTCTTGTCCAGACTGATCATTTCCAACTATTGTTGTTATCTTGGACCCTCCTCTATCTTAACTACCCTCCACCCACTGGAGAATATTCCTAATAACTAACAGAGTAATAAAGGGGAATCTGATTAATAAAAAAAATTCTGTGTTAAAGTAAAGAAATTTCATTTATTTTGGTTTCTTGGGCCACATCTGACAGTGCTCAGGCCTTATTATCCCTGTTTCTGTACTCAGCACTCATTCCTGGCAGGGTTTGGGGGACCATATGCGGTGCTAGCGATGGAACCCAGATTGGCTGTGTGCAAGGCCAGCTCCCTAACAACTGTTCTATCTCTCCAGCCCCAAGAAAGATACTTTAGACCTGAGAGATGAGCAGCATCATTGGGGGTGGGGTGTGTGTGTTTTGTTTGAAGGTTACCTTTAGCAGTGCTCTGGAATATTCTCAGGGCAGTGGGACAGTACCCTGAATCTTCTCCTGGGGATATTGGCGGACCATGTGCCAGAGATCCTAGACACTCCAAGAGGAGCGGCATCTTAATAAAGTATCAGAACCCACATCATGGTGGTCAGAGGAATATTAGTTTTTACTTAGTATGTATTATGGGTATAAGGCACCCATGCTTTCATATTTTCAATGTTTTCACCGCCCTCATGTTTCTATTTTATAACTATTTTATGTTCATAGCATTTCTATTAATTTGGTGCTGTTCTAATTTTTATTTCACAAGTGAGAAGCCTTCAGAAACCTTTTCCAGCTGTTAATAGCTAAGCTAGATGGGGTAAGCAGGAAACTCCTTTTGCTCATGCTCTTTCCTAGACCTGGTGCTGCGGGAGTAAGGGTTAGTCAGGAGAGGGTGTGGTGGTCTTTTCTGCTGCCTCTGATGCACAGTGAAGAGGGTCTCCTTTAAGGCCCATTTCAAAGTTCATGTTCATGGTTCATGAACCAAGTTCACAATTGTCAATTTCATGAAGAAGAGAAAAATTACATTACTACTGACATGTCTTTGTTTCATTCATAGATACTTTGTGCCTAGAGTCAATGATTTCCATCATTGGAAAGTATGGATGCTTGTTCTAGAGAACCAGAAACACAATTGTTCCTGCTCGAGCAATAGGACAAGGGTTGAGCAGGATATTCTGAAGTCAAGCAGCCCACTGCCAAAGTTCTTCTTTTGACTTCGGGTATGACATGTTCTTTCTCTCTTCTTCCATGTATCTGTTTTCTTCATGATATTTGGGGCAACACGCCAAAATTACTCTCTGGGAATTATTCACTCTCTAGGAATATCAGTATTTTCATATCAGAATTTTCATTGCAGGTGCTATGAAAACAAACCATGAACTTTAGATATATCAGAACTCTTCTGACACAAGCCACCTTCACTTGCTAGCCACGAGACTGTGTTTGGAACATCCCTGCTTTCCATCTCAAGCCCTGCTATATAAAATGGGAACAATGTTCAATGCATAACGAGGTTATTTTGAGAGTCCAATAGACAAAAAAAGGGCCTGGGATCATGCACTGTTCCCCTGTATTAGAGAAAGAAAAGAAAATGAAAATGAACAAATGAAAGCTTCATGTATAAATTTTAGGTTCATATGTTGGAAACCATAGGTGCCTAAAGCATTTAGAGTGGAGTATTATTTCCAAAAGTCACTGATTGTGAAAAAGAAAGTGAGGCTACCTCAAATACATTTAATATGTTTGAAAAATAGTGTGGTAAATGGCAAAAATTCCCCTAAGATAAGGATGCAACTGTTATATGCAAAATCATACTCATTTTCTCAGTTTTCTAGATATATACTTGACTAAATTTGCCATATTCATTTTATGTAATACCCCCGGCCAATTATCAGCAAAAGGTGACCATTGTATGTTGTGATTCAGAAAGCTGTGTTTCTTGTATTAATAATTACTCTTTATAAAAATAATTTTTGGCAAATGGATACATTTTGCTTTTATGATCAATGAGGCTCGACACATGCCTGGGAGTGAAAATGTATTAGGTAGAAAGACAATTAATGATGACTTGGAGCAGTAATTTAAGAGCCCCAGCAGGAGACTCTAGTAGCTAAACTGCATTCTAGGGATGTGAAGGAAATGGGATCTTTTATGTATTCTCTTCATGACCAGCATCTCCCTTTGATACCATATTTCTTAAAAAACAGAGCAAATCTCAGTTTTTAAATACCTCTTTCTTTTCTTATTTTTTCCCTTCCATTCTCCCTTTTTACTTATGTCCCACTTCTTCCCCTGCTTTTCATAATTTGTCCAGTCTTTAAAAATTAAAAATAGCCAAAACAATGAGGGACTATAGTAATAACATAGTGAAAAAGGTGTTTGCCTTGTATGTGGCTGACCCTGGTTTAATTTCTCATACCACATATGGTCCCTTGAACACTGACAGAGGTCATTCCTGAGCACAGAGTCAGGAATAGCTTCTGAGCTCTGTTGGGTATGGCCCAACTTCCCAGTAACAAAATATATAACTATTAAAAACAGAAAATAAATGAATATGGGTTATGAGGAAGCTAGGGGATCTTATCTAGTGGATCAATCACCAGGAAAAGGCACACTTAGTAGTAATTTCACTTTGCTAGCGATAGCTTTAATATCACTAACTCTGTCCTTTGACATTTCTGCAATTTCTGGTCCTAAGCAGGGAAATGGAGAAGACTGGGGCTGATTTCTAATTACATTTGCCTTCTCCGAGATCGAGACCAAAATCATGGTCATAATATTTTCATAAGCTGCTTGACATGCTACATTTATGATTATGTTCTTTCTTTTCTCCTTTTTTGAATTACCACGAGCTATACAGTTATAAAGTTCTTCTTGAAAAGTTTCAGTCATACAACATTCCAACACCCATCCCTTCACCAGTGCACATTTCTCACCACTAATGTCCTCAATTTCCCTCTTGCTGTCCACCCCACCCCCTATGTTCTATGGTAGACACTTCTCTCTTCCTCTCTCTCTCTCTCTTTCTCTCTCTCTCTCTCTCTCATAACTGCTCATGATGAAGCATTACTACAGCAGGTAGGGAAAACTACCCTTACTGTAGCCAACATGGGTTTGAACCCTGGCACCCTGAGCATCATCAGGATAGATACCTGAGTACAGAGCCAGAAGTAACTCCTGAGCAGTGGTGGGTATACTCCCCCCCACCCCACAATGTCAACACAAAAGACTGCATCTGGAATGAGAGGGGAGGTGGTGCGTGTACCTGGTGGGGCCACCATCCGCTGCCACTTCTGAAACAAGCAGGTCTTCAGGCAATCTCTCGGACTGAGGTTGTAGGTTTTATGTCTGGACATCAGCTCCTGCATTGGCTCCAGTATTACACACAACTGCAAGGAGTTCAAAGACATCGATGTGTCACTACTTGATGATTTGCAATAAATAACGTTAGCAGCAGAAATCAATTAAGATACTTAAAATGGTATTTTTCTTTTTTCCCCTCAGTCTGATTTTCTCTACACAAGTTCGGAGAAAAAGAAATATTAACCAGACTTCTTGATGCTCACTTAATTTGCCATCGATTTCAATATCATTTTATAACTGAACACGATGTACACACACATACACACACTCAAACACACACACGTGTGCATGCGCTGTTCTGTACAGACATTGGGTAGATATATGTAGCTCTATCTATTGTGAAGCCAAATGGTACTTTCTAGTAAAAGGGAAAAGCTTTCTTCCACGGAGCTCAGCATGCTCTGATTTCCACTCTGTTTCTATTCTTGCTCTTGTACCTGTTTGTATAACCACACACTGTGACTTACAATTCTAGTTTATGTAGATGATGTGGCAGAGAAAGCCATCTTTTAAGCCTTGGAGAACAAAGTGGCAGCTACAGGTAATTTTTTTTAAAAATTCTAATTCTTATAAAGGTCTGTGATGAACACAATTTTAGTTTTATTCATGTCCTCATTTGTATTTTATACATGATGGGGATGTCAATAACCCAGGCTGACATTTCTTCATTGTGAGAGCACTGGCTGTGCTTCTACACATAAGCCGTGTCCCCTCCTTTGGTTAGATTTTTTTCAGCTTTACTTTGGTCTATGACATTGGACAACTAAGATTAATGAATGAAGCAAGAAGGAAAATCCACATCGTATTGCTTTGAACTGTTCTGAATTCCTTCTAGTAGGAAGTGAATCAGAATAGGACTGCATTGAAGTAACCACGGGGACAAAGATCCCCAACTTGAAATGATAGAGCCATTGCTTTTGCAAGCACAGAGGCCAACGTTGGCTAATCCCTACTCCTCCTTAAAGTCATTTCTGCTGTACCTTGGTCCAAGGGTGCGTACACTCTCCTCATGAAGACTGAGTCGATTATTTCTCTAAAGTTGCCCCAGGGAGCCTGGTTCTTGCTGCTCTATGTACTAATTCATCCATTCCCCTTCAAAAGCTGTTTTCCAGTTCTGTCTTTTCCACTTGACCCAGAATTTTAAATGCCAAGACACGGTGTTCGCAGGTTTGGCTTAAATGAATAGACATATTTAAGGAGGGGCGCTTAGAGCAGAATGCTGATTCTGGTCAACGTTCCTCAAAGAATGGTCCAAGAAATACTTCCACCAGAACAAAATGCTTATTATTGAACACTGAACTTTCAATTCCACTGGGCCTGGGATTGGGCCCGGAACCTGCATTTTTAAACAAGACACACTCCCATGTTTTTTCTGATAAATATTAAAGTGTGAGTCCTACTGCCTCACATGTCAGACTTGAGAATAGGTAAATCTGGAGATTACGATATGAACAAAATTCTAGGCCTTTCTAGCTCAATTCCATTCTCTTCCCCTTATTCCACTTTGCCATGCCCATCCTCTATGTTCAACTTCAAGTTAAAGAATAGGGTTACCTTCTTCTAGAAAAATCACTGCCCTCATTTAGTGGCTAATGCTAATTTCCTTCCATTTCTATCCTCTGGATTAAGAGAGCTCAATGCCTGAATAGCATGAGTATAATCCGAGAGAGAGGGGCAGGTGACTCAATACTAGTAAATTGGGCTGTGAAGTAACAAGAACTGCACCAGGTAAGGCGCAGCTTCACTCTCAGCTCTTTTGCTGACCTTGGAGTCCTTTTTGAATCCTACAAGATTAACAAGGAAAAGCTGGAGTGCAAGAGAGGCCTGCCTGACTGTACGCCAACACAGTGACGACTCTGCTTGCTTTGCTCTTTCGGAATTCCTCATGTTAAGTTCAAGCAAACTGCATACAACCTCAAGCTTTCGCCAAATATGGCTGCTTGCCTAATGTATCAACATGAGATTCCACCAACTTCTCCACAGAGATAGGGATGGATTTTTCAGCAAAGAAGAACCACCTCTAGACTCACATAGGGTCAGATGATGTTTGCATTTATTATTAAATGAGACGAGTAAGAAAGCCTCTAGGGAAAGGTAGTCACCTGGGAATATGTATTTTTTTAATTAAAAAACAAATTGTTCAAACCAATTCCTTTGGGAACTCACAACAGATAAAACATATTGGTGGACTGAAACAACCGTGAACTTAGAAGCCCCGAGAATTAGGTCTGGATTTTGCCTCTTTCACTTCATGTAGCCTTGGGTGAGACACTTTATCATGTTGAATCTCAGTTTTACCTGTAATACAATATCTCTGGTGTTGAGAATTTGAGATGAAATGTCTGACATATGAGTTCAACAAATAGCAGATATTATGAATATACATTAGTAAACACAGCAAAGATCGGAAGCAAACCACATTTCTATTACTGTAAACCAACACGCATTTTCAGCCCTCTAGTGCCAGACTTTGCCTGTTTGCAGGGGTCACGATGAGAACAGTTTCTGCTTTCAGAATTCAGCTCCTTAAAGAATGACGGAAGCATCTTGAGCAAACTAACTTGTGTTTACATTTCAGATAACTTAGGAAACCACCCATCTCTGAAACATGTATTTTTCCTTCTACTACAAGTTGATGGTCAATGTGATCTCTCTCGACCTAGAAATGACCACCCGAATTGAGCATGCTAAAAAATAGGATAATACGATCACGAGTTCATCATTTTCTTGCATTTGGGTATCTTTCCTTTCTGGACTTGGGACAAAACTTTCTTCAGGTACTCATCCTCAGGATGTGTTCTCTTCCCCTTCATGTGTAAAGATCTTCTCCTCACTGTAACCCACCCTATAGGCATTTGCAACTCAGCATATTAATCAAGAATCCTGAGAGAGCTGCGTTTCTCCCCTAACAGAGGTTCCTAGTGAGAACAGAAGCCCTCTCTTATTCAAGCATGCAAAATTCTAGCCTTGTAGATTCTGCTTGGAGCTGCATGGCTTTGCGGGGCTGCATGCTGTAGGTGGCAGAACTAACTCAGACAAGAGTCTGCCTTTGCCAGCAGCCAGCCAGAGCATCTCGGCAACCGCAAAGGCCTGAGGCATTATGAAATGAGATCAGGAAGAAGATTGGGGGTGGGGGGTGGGTTCCTGCGGTTTCCAGTCAAGTCTTTCTGGACTCATGATTTCTGCTTTCCTTGAAATCTCAGGCCCCCTGGAGAATCTGGTGAAGGCTGAACAATCTGTCTTTCAAATTTGTATACATTTTGCACCAGGAGACTTAGGAAATCTCTTCTATCCCCATCCGAGGACGAATGACAGGTGAAGAGTTCCCTGCAAAACTCCTCTACACACACACACTCTCTCTCTCTCTCTCTCTCTCTCTCTCTCTCTCTCTCACTCACACACACACACACACATACACACACGCATGTGTGTACCACATGTGCACAGATACACACACCTAAATATAGAAACAAAGGTCCTTAGGTTTTGAAGAACAGTTTTATCTGCACAGTGGGTCTCCTACAAAGTTTCCAGTGGAATGAATCTTTTCACAGACAGCATGCCTGCCACATCTCTCATAACTGCAGCAGCCTGCGCAAAGGCTTGTGGTTCAGGAGGCACTGAAAAATAGGAGGAGTCCAAGGGCATCGTGGGAGGGGCAGAGTCAGCAAGACTTGAGACCAACTCTGAAAATCCTAAATATATATCTCTTGCCAGAGTCAGGAAGAGCCTAAAGAAAATCTTTGGCTCTCCTGACAAAGTTACAAGGAAAGCCCTTTCCAGCTTTACTGAGAGCATTGAACTGAGCTTGTTTTCCCTCTTTTCGATGTTATTTTCAGGGATACTGGCCACAGTATCATCTTTTGATGTAAATGTAATGAAAACAGTAATGTAATGAAAGAGTTAATGGATGGATGGATGAATGGACAGAACACAAAGTAGGCGGCTGGCTGGCTGGATGATTAGACAATGGATGCCTGGATATTTTCTAATTATAGACAAATCAGATATTGTCTTGCGGATATAGGGCGATGAATTGTACATAGACTAAAAGAAAGGCTGCATTGTCCATGCAGATGACTTTACAGAAGTATACACCCAGTTATGGCATGTCCTGGCCAGGCAGGAAGATTTTTCACTCAGTTACAGCCTTTTCACATTAACAAAGAGCCTAGCAAACACAGACAACATGGGTTTTGCTTTCATCTGGAGAATTCTTAGCTACTTGCTCATACGATTCTCCTTGTTCATATCTTTGCTTAAGTCCAGGAACACATTCCGGCCTCTGAGAAGAGCTAATGTCCTGCAGCTGGCATTGGTCTAACTCTCAGACCAAGGTCCTATCTATTGCCAATGTTTTAATTGATTCTTTTCTGCCTGACATCCCCTGAGATTGAACTACCTACTATCTGTATATGGGTTTGCCCAGCGTTTCCATGTCAATATTGGCATGGGCTTTTGCTCATATTGCTCTTATCTAGAAGACCTTCCATTTTCCCCAGTCAGCTTAACTGAGGTTGGAAAGCTAAGACTGTGAGTTCAATATGGTCACTTTCATGCAGCTTCAATGTTGGTTTTGTGTTGTAACTGCAGAGTAGAATAGCTGCAGCAGAATACGTCTGGCCACACATCTGAAAATGTCTACGTGGTCATCTACAGAAAGGAGACTGATGTCATTCTGTACCGTCCCACACCCAAGTCTACTATTTACTAGCAGTGTGTTCTTAGTGACAGACTTTAACCTCTCTGGATATTCTTTCCTGTAAAATTTGGCTAGTGACACTTTTTGGATTCGCTTGCAGGGGGCGGGGGCGGGGTGGAGAAAAGGGGGGCATGCCCAGCAGTGCTCAGGCAGGGCTTACTCTTGGCTCTGCACTCAGGGATCACTCCTGGTGGGGACTGGGGGACCATATGTGGTGCTGGGATTGAACCTGGGTTGGCTGTGTGCAAGGCAAGTACCTTTCCTATTGAATTATGTTTCTGACTACAGTGATTCTGATTTCTGTTGGGTTAAAACAACTTGGTA